ATATATATATATATATATATATATATATATATATATATATATATATATATATATATATATATATATATATATATATATACATCGAACCATACTAGTTCTGCAAGTGTTATGTTAGGTTGTGTTATTGTTCACTCCGTAATATGATTAATAGAAAATGTTCTCGAGTGTGTATTCAGTCATAATTTCCATACCCAGCGCAAGCAGAAAGATAAAGTCCGCCGCGGCTGGGTCTTGAACACGCGACCTTCGAATAACTAGATCGACGCTCTACCAACTGAGCTACACGGGCAGACGGATTTAAGACTGGAAATTATGAACTATATACTGGATGTCATAAACATACTCGCTTATATTAATTCGGCATCGTACCATACTGGTTCTGCAAGTGTTATGTTATGTTGTGTTATTGTTCACTACGTAATATGATAAGTCACAGCAAAAAATCACTTTCTCATTTTAAGAAAAAAAAAACTTATTTTAAGAAAATTTTCTTAAAATAAGTCCAAATTTTCTTGGGAGACTGGTAAGAAAATTTTCTTGCTAATTTTCTTAAGAATTTTTTTCTTAAGAAAATCATGAGATTTTTCTTAAAATAAGAATTAAGAAGAACGCTTGTATTTATACCCTCTCACCAAGGAAATTCATTGGCGAAATGCGGAAATTTTCGCGTGAAATGAATCCACGCGTGCGCATCTTTATTGAACAAACAAACATGGCGACTTCGCAATGGAGCGACAATGATGAAAGTAACGAAAATGTGATGAGTGGACGTAATGTAAGTTCCGAAAACTCAGAAACAAACCTGGAAGGATCATCTCTTCAAAATAAAGGTATGTTTTGTCCACTAGTGTCAACAAGGAAAAAGCCGTAAAAGATTATAGATATAGAAATAAAGTGAAAATATGTATCCCTATAGCGGGAAGTACATACCTTTAAGAATTTTTTGTATGTTCTATTTAGATTCAAATTATACGGATGTGCTAGAAGTGCTTGTAGCAGAAGTACGACAAGAAGCGTATTGTTTGGAAAGCAATTGCAGAGAAAGTAGGATTGGATGCTACGTTTAACTACACAGTGTATAGGCTACCCTTGCATTTTACCTTTTGAAGATGGCTTAACAAAAAATGGACCAAATCCTTTTGCTTAGTGCATTCCAGAAATGCTGATGCTTGTTTAATTTATTAGAGGAAAAGTATTTCTTACAAAATAATTTTCTAACATAAATACTTAATTAATTTCTTGGGAGGGTACTTGAGTGTCATAGTTGATGATCTTTATCACATTTCAATTTTAGTTCAACAAATGAAGCAGACGTGGAAAAATCTATCAGATGGGTTTAAAAAGTGTCTAGACAGAAAGCCAGATATGGAGAAGTCTGCCAGTGGTTATTAAAAACCACCAACTTGTCGCTTTTATAATCAGCTGCAATTCCTACAAGATTCTGTCAGCAACAGAACTACTCATGGTAATATCCAAGTAATAAGGTGTGATTCACCTGATTCCCCTTGTCCTATAGAAACAACATTGCCTGATCAGTCAGTTGCACATTCTGCTCTGCCAAGCCTTTCCCCAGCAAGTGACCAAAAGAGTGATAAGCAGCAAGTTACTCCCAATGCAGGCCATCTTCCTGGGAAACAAAAATCTGAGTTTCCCCAAGCTACAGTTGTCCCCAAAAGAAAAAAGAAAGTTCAACTTGATCCATTTGAGCAAATCTTAATTAAGTCAATCGATAAGAAAGATCAAGAGAATAAGTTACCAACAACTAAATCAGAAGATCCAGATGAGCAGTTTTGTCGAAGTATTGCCGACACATTAAGAAGACTTAGACAGAACTCAATGAAGAAGAATCGATTTGTTAAAATAAAGATACAACATTTGCTTTTTGATATAGAGTTCTCAGACTCAGTCAATTTCTGATCTGATAAATACTGCAACATCAGAAACTGTTAAACTTCCAGTTGATAGAACGTAAATTAAAGTGGCAAAATATTTCAGGATTGTCTGTATTGTTTATATTGTTTTTATGAACATTTGAACATTTCTTGTTATTTCATGATTTGCTCATGAATGTTATTAGTGTTAGTAAAAATATTTATAATTATATACAGTATAAGAAGAAAATAGTATTTATTAAAATATATTAACAAATAAGAGAATACCTGTATGCATTAGGGACTGCTCATTATTTACTGTACAGGGGGGGGGAGAAACTGGGGAGCCTTCAAATTTTTTAAAACCCGCAAGAAGGGGCTATGAGAAAATACAGAGAGACGAAAGAAGGGGAACTTTGAAAAGATTTAGTGGTTTGAAAAAAATCAGTAGTAAGTTTTAAAAATGCACCACAAAACAACCTAACAACAAATAACAATGTTTATAGACCTTTAATATTCATTAATGGAAGCCACATAAAAAGTCTCTTATGTTCATGTAAATAGACAATTCCCATTATAGACTAATTTTAGAACTAGGCAAAGAGATGCAAATTACGGCCGGATTTTGGTGAAAATAATGGGGGAGGTGGAAAAAATGTTAGGCGGGTGCACCTGTCTAGCGCACAACCCCCATGCAAAGTTAGGGCTTATTGCAGAACAGGCCAATATCAACGATGTGAGGTATGCGTGTAGTGTACATATGTACCAGTGTATTAATGAAGTACGAATGTATGACTCCAATTAATCTTGCCCTAATCATTGCAATAAAGGGTACGTACTTGACACAGAGATGAATGGCTATCACTATTTCAATTTTACAGAGTAAACCTTTTTACGTCACGAAGTGTATATCCTAAACAACCATCACATTTTCACTTTGTTGCATCATTGAAACTAATTCCAAAGGGTAGGTGCATGACCTTTCAGTAGAGGTGAAAAAATTCTCGGGGGAGGTGCAAAATGATCTCAGGGAAGGTGCGTACCTCCCCACACCTTGCCTCAATATCCGGCCTTGATGAAAAAAATCACCAAAGCTAGAAAGAGTATACCAAAATAAGTAAATTATTGCAAAGTTTGGTTGCAAACTGATGTAAAATACGGAAAATATAGCCTTGCAAATTTGTATTCTTTTGTATTGCATGTGAAAATTGCAATACAAAAGTAAATACAAAATTTGCAAACTTTGGAAGGCTATAATTTTTGCATTTTACAACATTTCGCAACCAAACTTTGCAATTTTACTAATGTTAGAATTCCCTTCCCGGAAATATTTTTTTTTGCTAAGATAAAAATTAGTCTATAATGGGGAATTGTCTATTGGTCGCCATTATCTATTTATGTTTCTCTAAATAAAGATAAAGAGCTAGAGAGGGGGGGGAACCAAAATTTAAAATGTTTTGCCTCCATGGGGGAGGCCTTTGAAATTTTACTTGTCTTAAGAGGGGGGGGGGGCAACGAACAAATATTATAACTGTAGAGTTTCTCCTCAGTCTCCCCCCGTACAATAAATAATGAGCAGTACCTTACATTATTATATGTGATCTGTGGCTTGAATATATGAAATTTATCCAATCTTGATGAGATTTTACTTGCTCACTGCACTCTCAGGACAGGATAAATCTATACCCCCTGCTTGTATTTTGAAGTAGATTTTTTCTTCAAGTTATCCATCAACAATTTCAACCGTACTTCATCGGTTTATGTCTACTGAGTATATTTGCCATTACCAGGGAATTTCTCCAGCTGATAAAATAAAATAGTTTGCAAAATTGTCCCGGGTATGTTTTTCAGCTTTGCTGTAGTTATTTGAACCAATGTTCTTTAAAGGTTTAAAATTTGAATCACCTTGAACAATATTTCTCCATTCACCATTCCCTAGTCGACCATTAATCTTATAATCAGCAAATCCTGCTGGACAATAGCAATTTTGTAATATTGTCTCCCAGCCATAAGAAAATTGTGTAGGGCCACACATACCTTTGTAACTGCCTCAGTTGTATCAATCCTTGAGTGGATTGGGCGGTGAAATACACGAAATCCGAAAGCATTTTCTATGATTCTTCGAGCTCTTGAGATCCTATAATTTGCAATTAACTTCCTAACATCCAAATTTGTTTCTGCATATGGCTTAACAACATTATAGCGTAGTGGAAATGCATCATCTGCAACAAAAACTTAGGGAAAAAGAGTTCCTGATCCATCAAGCGGTCTTTAATTTGGTAATGGAAGCTTGTCATTATAGTACAGTAGCCAATCTTGCTATCTCCAAAAACCCCACCATCACTTTGTCGACCAGCTTCGCCAATGTCCACAAGGGTAAAACGATAGTTACTATCACATACTGCTAACAAAACAATACTGAATGACTTTTTATAGTTGGAAAAAAGTGATCCACTTGATGGTGGTGCCTGAATTGTAACATGTTTGCCATCCATTGCACCAAGGCAATTGGGAAAGTTCGCCTTCATTCTCAAAAACATCAGCTATTTTTCTCCAATCACCAGCATGTTGTGGTACTCTTAAATGAGCATCGTCTACAAGTGAATTCCATATTATTTGAGCAGTTTCATGCACTATTCGGCTGACTGTCGTGTGTCCATTACGCTATAGAAGCATATCCATCTCCTGATGCCAAATATTGCAATGTAACGCAAAGTCTTTCAGTAGGCGATATAACTTCTGGCCCTCTATTGGCTTCAATTGGTTATTTTGGGGGCAACCAAAGTTAAGAGTTCTTCAACCTGATTTGGCATCATCCTGAACATTTTGAAAAACAACTCGTGGTCAACAAGCATCCCTTGTAGAATCAAACACTATTTAATTGCTATTTAATTCATATTTTATTGGGGTATTTAATTCCTATTTGTCAAAGTATTTATTTCCTATTTTTACTATTATCTTTTTCGAGGTTTTTCCTATTTAAATTAGGGTAGAAGGCTATTTTTTTCCTATCCAAGTGCAACCATATTTTTTTCCTATTCATGATATATTTCTAAACAAATACTTCATTGATGTTCTCGAATAGAAATTAAATAGGTTTCATGATCAAATATGATAAAAATAGAGCTATTTAAGGAAATTATTAAAAATATTTAGTTTCGAAATAGTTAATAAATATGTATGAAATAATTAAAACGTAATGACAATATAGGTAAAAAATATGTAATAAATAGCTGAAATGAGTTTCAACTAAGTTTAAAATAGTCAATAAATAGTTGAAATATAGTGATATTATAGTTTAAAAATAGATAATAAATAGTTCAAAAATAGTGATATTATATTTAAAAATAGATAATAAATAGTTCAAAAATAGTGACATAATATAGTTTAAAAATAGATAATAAATAGTTATAATACATCCCAGCTTGTTAAAAATAGGTAATAAATAGTGGATATAATATTGCCCAAATAGATTAAAAATAGTTAAAAAAATAGTAATAACATATTAAATAAATAGTTAAAATATGTCCTGTTAATAGAGTTAAAATAGCTATTAAATATAGTGTATACAAATACATATAGCCTATAAATATTTTTAAAATACTGTATATTATAAATACCAGTAGTTAAAACATAGATAATAAAAAGTTAGAACATATAATGTAAATACTCGTTAAATAAAATATAATTAGTAAAAGAAATTGAAAGTGTAGAAGTCATGTTTCGCTCGCTACTCTGGTTTAAATAAATTATTACAAAGCCCAGTCGAATTGTAATCAAGACCCGGGGTTTTGATTACAATTCGACCGGGCTTTGTAATAATTTATTTAAACCAGAGTAGCGAGCGAAACATGATTGGTATACCTGGTTGCAGTGAACGAACAAACTTTATAAGTGTAGAAGTGCTGAAACATCAGAGGCTATTACGGACCTACTTTAGTATTTTGGCCACGCTTCTGCTTTGCCTCGAAGAAAATCCGGTCCGTTGATCCATTGGTTAATTTCACGTGCATCGGTAGGTCGTAGGCCTCGGGAAGCATAATCAGCTGGGTTAGCCTTGGAGTCGACGTATCTCCAACTTGATGGGCTTGAGAGGTCGTGGATAAGAGCGATTCTGTTGGCCACGAACGTCTTGAAACGGTTAGACTCATTGTTGAGGTATTGTAAAACGCACGTAGAATCCGTCCAGAACGTGACTGAGTCGACTTCTAGATCCAACTCCTGGTTGATTTGATTATAATATGAAATACAACATGAAATTGTTGCATTTGTATTGACTTGCGTCTTGCGCAACTAATTATAATCGACAATGCAGACTCCCGCTGGTCGTAAATAATACGGCTTAATGGCGATAGCTTTCTTTCTATATTTGATACAAACTATGACTTTCGCCCGTTTTGCGGACAAGATCACAATACATAAGCAACGTTAATTTTATGCTAAATAGATAAAGCACAACACAAACTTGATAGT